CAACAGAGTGAGACTCCAACTCAAAAAAAAAAAAAAAAGAAGAAAGAAAACCCAGGGCAGAGTAGCCACGAGAAGAGGGATGAACAGGCGCCCACGACTCACGGTGGAGGTGGGAAAACCATGCCCTTCCCGGGGCCAGAGCCTGGGAGGTGGTGCTTGTGTGAAAGTGACCTCGACATTTGGCCTTCCTGCCTCAGGACAGCCAGGTCAGGGGAGCCCGAAAAGGGGGTTCCTGCCCTGACCTTGACTGGTGTGAGCGTGGGCAGCCCCTTGCCCTCACATAGCCCATTTCCCCATCTATAAAATGGGCTTGTTGGAGGAGATGGTCTCTGGGGCCTGCTCCAGTCTAACTGTAACACAGGCAGAGCGGGTGCTTATCAAGTGCCTGGTGTGTGCCGGGGCTTTGCTGGGCACAGGGGAGCCAAGGGTGGTATGGACAAGTCCCTGCCCTCCAGGACCCGCCTCTGGTGTCTCTCTGCCCCTCCCATCCCACCACTCTGCTTCTCTTTGAGTGTCTGTTACAGAACCAAAAGGCTTCTTTGCAAATTTGTTTTCTTTATTGAATATGGTTTAAGCATCTAAGCCAGTAGACTGGATGTTTAAACCATATTCAGTAAAGAAATGACTGAAAAGACAGAGCTGGGATCACACACACTGGTTTGTATCCCACCACTCTTTATTTCTTTCTGTAAAAATGAATTAAGAACAGCCTGGGCAACACAGTGAGACCCCATCTCTACAAAAAATAGAAAAATTAGCTGGGTGTGGTGGTGCATGCCTGTAGTCCCAGCTACCTGGGAGGCTGATGCAGGTCTGAGCCCAGGAGGTCGAGGCTGCACGGTAGCCGTGATCACGCCACTGTACTCCAGCCTGGGCAACAGAGTGAGACCCTGACTCAAAAAAAGAGAGAAAGAATTAAAACCTCCAGGTCTCTACTACCTTCAAAACATCTGCAGAATCTGACCTGTTCTCAGCACCACCACTGGCACCCCCATCTGAGGCACTGCCATCTCTGCTCTGGAATCATTCAATAGCTTTGTCGGAGACCCTCCCCACTAGCTTCCTGGCCACCCCCTTGCCTCTCCCCAGCTGCCCACCCCACACAATGGCCTGAAAAGTCCTGCTGCTTCTCTAAACCTTCGATAAGGTCTCATCTCATTCAGAGCAAATCAGTCACAGAAAAAAAAAACCGGAGGCTCTCCCACCCCTACCCTCTCCCGCTCCAGCTCTGACCTCCCACCCCTCCACCTGCTACGTGCACACACCATCCTGGCTACACCGGCTTCTTTGGGGCTTCTCAAACACCAGCACATGCCCACTTGCTGGGTACCCGCAGCCTGGGACAATCTGCCCCCACCACCCTCGTGCCTGTTTCCTTCACATCCTTCAGGTCTCTGCTCAAATGTCACTCATCAGAGAGGCCCTTAACGACAGTGCTGAGATGACACCTCTCTCTGCCCCCTTCCCTCCCTGGCTGCATTTTGCTCTGTAATACATCACACCAGGTGGAGTAGGCTTTTAAAGTTTTTTTAGAGACACAGTCTTGTTCTGTTGCCCAGGCTGGAGTGCAGTGGTGCAGTTATAGCTGACTGCAGCCTCAAACTCCTGGGCTCAAGTGATCCTTCCACCTCAGCCTCCCGAGTAGCTGGGACTACAGATGTGCACTGCCACACCCAGATTATTTTATTTTATTTATTGTAGAGATGTGGTCTTGCTATGCTGCCCTGGCTGGTCTCGAACGACCTGGGCTCACGTGGCCTTCAGCCTCCCAAAGTGCTGGATTACAGGTGTGAGTCCCGCAGCTGGGAGCAGGTTTTTTGTTTTTTGTTTTTGAGTTGGAGTCTCACTCTGTCGCCCAGGCTAGAGGGCAGTGGCACGCTCCCAGCCACCGCAGTCTTGACCTGCCGGGCTCTGGCGATCCTTCTGCCTCAGCCTTCCAAGTAGCTGGAACTACAGGCACGCGCTACCACGCCCGGCTAGTTTTTGATTTATTGTAGAGATGAGGT